GAGTGATAAGTCACGGTCATTGGATCTTGCATCCTAGATCGGAGATTTAATGGCTTCGGTCTGCACATCATTTACTCTCGTGCGGATAAGCCCTTCTCCGTTTCAAAATAATGTCAAATGTTCAACAATCTGCCACCGGAAGAAAAGAAAAAAAGGAAAAAAATAGAATAAAGCTTTAACTCCTGGTCCATGTCGGTAGCGTCCATCCTTTCCTTACTATTTGTCAGATATTATTGTGATTGTGATAGCAATGCCCAAATCTCCTCTCCTTTTCTCCTCTCTTCTAAACCACCAGGGCCGAGCATGGCCTTGAACCGGCCGTTAGGTTGGAAAAAGTTATTTCATCTCTTCCTTCTCCTCCGTCCACCTTGTTTATTTTTGCCTCCATCTTCATAGAAGGAGCGCCTCAATACATAAATACAAAATCTTGGATCACGACACCACCCTCTACCTCTCATACATACCCACTTTTACTCATTGCCGGCTGTACTTGCTTTCAACTCTTCGCCCTTCCACCGGAAAAAAGATTCCCTGCCTTTTGATGAACTCTTAAGACTGCTGCTGCTGCTGCTGCTGCTGCTGCTTTGTCTGTTGCCATGCCTCGTCCTCAATCAAACTGTAGGAGTGGCAAAATGAAGGCAAGAGCTACTGCTCAGCCGAGCCCACGCTTTCTCACCTGTGCCCTAGAGCTACGTGAGAATATCTACGCGCATATTTTACGCAATCACTCTTCCTCACTCGTTGATCTGCTCGTTGTCAATCGTCAGCTCTGTCGCGAAGTCAAGCCATTCCTGTACAAATTGCCCTTGACCTTTGATGGCCAATCTCAGCTGTTCGACTGGCTGTCAAAAGTAGATCATGGTTACCTTCGTCACGTAGAAGAAATAGGCTTCAAGTTGCACGATATCAACCCAGACGAAATTGTTGGAGCGCTGGGCAAGAAGCTTCAGAACGCAAACATCACTAGGGCGAGCGGCTCTCGCGGTCCAGATACTCCAGATAACCCATATTTTGAGGCTTGCCGTGCGGATCTCAGACGGATCGGAGCAGCGTTCCGTCTGCTCCCTAACCTCCGGTATCTGACCATCCTCTCGGCTTCGGACAGAGATTCCCGGCCCCATCACCGGACTCAGGACGCCTTTTCCAAGTTGGTCGGTCAGTGTTTTCCAAAATTGAAATCCCTTATTAGCGAGGAAGATCAATTCCCGATCGACTTCGTTTCCGGAAAACCAGAATTACGGAGACTTCGGTTTCCGGCCACTACCAGTAGCGACGACGAGGAGACCGAAGGACTCTTCTCGGCTCTGTCCTTGAGTGAACTCGAGATCTGCCGGCTTCCACACCATACCGCCAGCGGTGCAGAAGAATGGGACTGCGTGACTCCCATCCTCGAGGGTTCACCGTCCCTGCAGTCATTGACCCTGTTCGAGCGACACGGAGCCGAGACTCCGAACCTGGCAGCCGAGGTATTCGTCGGGTCACAAGCCGCGTTGAGAAGACACCGGAGCTCCCTACGGACGCTGAAGCTACTGGCCAAACCCGGTCCCGAGTACTCGGCAGACGAGGACAGCGACCCCGTCCACCCCGAAGCCTGCTGCGCCGCCTTCCTCGCCCAGTCCTCCCTGACCCACATCGAATTCACCGACGTCTGGATGTCCGTCTACGAGCAGCTCCCCCGCACCATCCAAACCGTCACCTGGCGCCTCGACGAATCCCCCCGGCCGCCCAACGTGGCCACGTCCGTCGCCCGGATCAAGAAGATGGTCACCCACGCCGTGCGGGCGCGCGGCAACCCGCGCGATCCCACACTCCCGCACCTGAGCCGCATCTCCATCCACCTGGACGGCTTCTTCCCCGCCGCGGACATCAGGCATCCGGACCATCCTTCCCGGGAGATTTTGATGATGGCGCGGGCCAAGCTGGGCGATCTGGGCGTCCGGCTCGACTGGAAGGGGTGGGAGGGGGTGCCGGGTTTGTGAGGGGCGGTTGTATGTATGGATTCCGTATCCCAATGGGACGGTGGAGCTATTCTTTCCACGTCCGCCGATCACTCCCGGCCACAGGTATCATCTTGGAGGAGTCGAAGACCCTCCTTTTCTGGCCCAGCGGCTCAGCATCTTGACTCGCCTCGTCGCGACTCGCTGCTGTGTTGGACGTTGCGTCTCCGCATAGCCTCGAGTCTCTTTCAGCGGCCGGTATCGACTTAGCGAGCATTGTCGTTCTGATCCAGCGAGTATTGATGATCATAGCAGCACCGGATGTGCAATGGAGCATTATCAAGCGATATGATCTATAGCATCTACATACGTCACGAAGCGAGGAATGCATAGCTGCTATCCCTTCTTTCAACGCTGGCCAGGACTCCATCCATCCTAGCGCGTCCACAATCCCTTTCCTGTTGACATAATACACAACCTCTCAACACTTCCAATGCTCCTGTACCCATTGAGCAATCAACCCGGTCATGTCCCTTCCTTCCATGTAAACATCCGTGTCCGGCTCTGCATAATCCGTGCCCAAGAACTTCAGCGCCAGCAAGATGTAGCTTTCGATGAAGTCGACGTAGACTAGATCCACTGATACCGGATCAGCGGAATCTTTCGAGTCTTCCGTCGCGGCGGGGGGGAAGCCGATACGGGACTCAAGGGCATTTGGGACGCGGTAGAAGTTGATGGGGGCGTGGACGGTGTCGTCGCCATCAGAACCTGCATCGTCTATTGTGGTGTAGCCGGGTGTGAGCTCGGCGTCATGGTCAGGTGCGTGGTGTTTCCCCAATGGCATCTGCCCGTTGGCGAGAAATAGTTGCTCATCTACTGGGCGAGTGCTTGCTTGAACCGATTGTACTGGCCCCTTGAAAGCAAACGACTGCGAGGCGGGCCAGAGCTGGGGCACCTCTTGATTGATTATCTGCAGCAGCCGCTTTGCAACGCTAAATGGCACATCTTTGATGTAGCGGAAGCCGCTAGTAAATGGGCTGACCGTGTAGGTGGTGTCGACTGTGAACGGCCCTTTGAAGATATCGAATCGTAGGGCGCCGGTGTTTGTAAACGCCATCCGTGGCACATCAGCTCTGTCGATGTCAAGGACCACGTCTGGCAGCACCTCATCTTGCAGCCAAGAGAAGATACTATTCTCGCTTGGGTACGGGGCTCGATTAGTCCAGTAGTCCTTTGGAGCGCAGCCGTAGGCCCTGTCGAGCTTCAGAGTCTCGCGAGCCGATGCAATCATTGAAGAGACATTGCGGCCGTGCTCGGTAGGGAAGGTAGTTTCGTTGAGATTGGTGTGTTGGTGAAAGGAAAAAAGGTTGTTATCGATGTAGCGGCGGGAGAAGGTTGGTGAAGCCACTCGAGCTGCACGAGGTGCTGCAGCATCTCTGTACATTGAGATGGACTTTCCATTGGTAGGCAGCCCAGTGACGGACATGAAGCCAATGGTTTCCATGTAGCGACCGCTCTCGAGCCCGTAGGCTTTGCTATCGTATTTGGCGTAATCTCGGATATGAGTGTGACCGCCAAAGAATTGGATAGTGACGTCCCATTGCTGTTCTCGGATCGCCTTGAAGATACTGGCGAACTCTTGGGTGCGGAGCGGGACATGACCGATGACAAGGAAAAGGTCGACCTCCCTATCTCGTATAGCTTCCTGAAACCATTTTTCCTTGATGGTCTCTTGCACCCTCTGGACAACGGTATTATGGGAATTGCCTCTAAAATTGAAGAGGAAGCCAAAAGCTAGGACACGGATACCCTGATTCTTCGTTGTGAACTTCTTGAATCGTTGAGCTAAGGGCCGTTGTTCTCCGGTCTTGGGATCAATGATGTCGAGGTTTGATGCAAGGTAGTTGCCGAGAAATTCGGGCACAGTCTCGTAGTATTCGTTCTCGGACGAGGAATTTTTGTAGAGCTCATGATTTCCCGAACATATCACATCAACATCCTGCTCTCCAAATATCTTCAAGGTGTATTTGCCTTTTGGTTCCGAAGCATCGTAGAGCCCATTACCTTCTATCCTGTCTCCCGTATCCACAAGCAGAAGATCTACGCCCTCTTCATCCGCTCTCTCGTGTAGTCTTTCTGCAAACGAAATGTAATCACCCCAGTCGGCGCTGAATGATGGTCTGCTTCCAGATGAGCGGAAGCTTCAAATGCTGCGGAAAAGTGGAATCTCACTCTTGGAGATGCCCAGCATGCCAGCCATGGGTATCTGTCGTATGTAGGAAATTGAGTTGGCCCCAAGGTAGCTCTCTTAGAGGCGCCGAGACTGGCGGAGCAGCTGAAGGTTGAGCTGCAAGGACTGCCCTCACAATCGTCAGAGCCAAAGCTCCGTAGCGAAACCTGATTATCATTGTGAGAATTCCTTTCTCCTCCACATCGTCTCGTGGAAGCTATTCAAGTGTCAAGCTCCATCAGACGAGACAACATTCAAAGCTGTTGATGGCCTGTCTGCCTGTGACGTTTGGCCTACCGGAGATAAGACCGAACGTTTAGCGTATTCATAATCCCTTCGAATGCTTGGCATCAAAAATTCCTAGGTACCCTATAGATCCAAATTACCAACGTCACAGCCATGATTTGAATTGTAAAAACATCTATATACTAATTAGACTCCTCATCGCGGCGATTCCAGCGCTACTAGAAAAGATAAAACCTACACGGAATTGGTAAATCTATGAAGTCGGGAAGAAAATGAAGTTATTCTTGAGCAGCGTAATCGATAATTCGTTCTCAATTTCTAAATAGTTATGAATGAGTAAGTCAAATACAAATCTTCTGTATACAACACTTTTATCCACTATTATTGCGACTCTAACGCGGCCAAGTCTGTCAAAAATCCGAATTGTAGTTATGAAGTTGATAATTTGAATCTATGGGGTACGTAGGAATTTCTGATGCCAAGCATTCAAAAGGATTATGAACACGCTAAATCTTCAAATCTTCCGCTATCGTCGACCAAGTGACCAGGAGAGCACAGCACAGCATTCATGCCCCAGAGCGTGATACATGTCGCTGCTGCGAAGAGCTGAGACGTGTTTCGCCAATCAGCAGGTCAACAAGCTTCTGAACGCCTTCGTATGCCCCCGCGATGAGGGCACTTTGATCTCGGAACATACTTCGAATCTACGAGACGCAGATAAACGACGAGATAGAGGTACATCCATCAAGGAAAGCTTAGGCAAAGCGTATCTGATTGCTCTCATAGGTACACCAAAGTCTGCCATTGATGGCTGCTTAATAGCTGTGAAGGACAATATATGCACATCTGAAGAGCCGACGACATGCGCGTCCGCAATTCTGAAAGGCTTCCACAGCCCGTACCCGGCCACGGTAGTCGAAAAGCTCAAACACGCTGGGGCATTGATCGCTGGAAAGACCAATTTAGATGAATTTGGAATGGGGTATGCTTTCAGTCGGTTCGTGGCTGCCAACGCCTGGTTTGACAGATGACAAAGGTCCGACTCTATAAACTCGATCTATGGTGCTGTCAAAAATAGCTATACTCAAGACGGAGGTTCTCTGTCAGCTGGTGGAAGCTCTGGTGGCAGCGCTGTAGCTGTTGCTACTGGGCAATGTGATGCGTACGTTTTGAGTTTTGGACTGCAGAACTCTGGCTCACTGGAATAGTGCATTGGGCACAGACACCGGAGGGTCTGTACGCCTTCCAGCTGCATATACGGGTATTATAGGCTTCAAGCCTTCGTATGGCATGGTGTCCCGATGGGGTATCGTGGCATATGCAAATTCTCTTGACACTATTGGCATACTAGCCAAGGATAGCTCCATGGCAAGGAATATCTTCGGTAAGGAGACTCCAGTCTGCTCATGTTTCTGGCCTGACGATGGTTGCAGACGCGGTCGAAGGCTTCGACTCTCGAGATCCTACCTCCATACCAGTGAGCACACGCTCAAGGATTGCGCAACAATTGCTTGAACGCAAAGCAAAGCAGGGCTGGGGCGACACACCTTCGGTGCGCATAGGTGTCCCAAGGGAGTACAACACTGCAGAGCTCCAACCGGAGGTAAGAAGAGCCTGGCTGGAAACATTGCAAGGTCTTCGGAACCAGGGTCATACAATCCACATGCTGTCTTTAGCCACCACAAAAATGGCTCTCTCAGCATACTACGTGATAGCACCAGCGGAAGCCTCTTCAAATCTTGCCAAGTATGATGGCGTCCGTTATGGCAACAAAAACTCGGCCTCGGAGCGGGCCGACAACGTTTTATTCGCGTCTACACGGGGCGCTGGTCTTGGAGAAGAGGTAAAGAGGAGGATTCTTCTCGGTTCCTACAGCTTGAGTGCTGCGGCAATCGACAATTACTTCAAAACGGCTCAGAAAGTGCGCAGGCTAGTACAGAGGGACTTCAATAATGCCTTTGCGTTAAGTCACCCCCTCCTAAAACGCCAAGATGGGTCTGGAAGTGAACCAAAAGTCGATGTTATTTTGACTCCCACAGCGCAATCGTTACCGCCAAGGCATAGTTCTCTCAAAAATAAAGCCTCCATAGACTCATATAGTGTTGATTTTCTTACGGTGCCAGCAAGTCTCGCTGGAATCCCCGCTCTGAGTCTACCAGTGTCAATCGCAGGACAAGATGGGATTGACCAGAACGCGCCGACTTCAGTGGGAATTCAGGTAATTGCGCAATATGGCGATGAGGAGATGGTCTTTGCCATGGCTCGGTCGATTGAGTCACTGAGGGATATAAAACAATTGAGTTGATTTTCTAATCAATTGAGGCGTTTGAAAAATGCCAATTATCTGCAAATTGTGCATTGGTATATAAACCCCAAACTTTCTCTTCCTTTACTACTTCCTTCAAACATCTCCACTCTGCATCTTGACGCACAGAAGCACAAAATTCTTTCATACAAAGCACTCAAAGCTTCTACTGCGGCTGGTTCTTGTCTATACATTCTTCCACACATAGCAACATATTTCCCGCCTCGCACTCACTACCCCAAGCATCATACACATACACCTGCGACCTCTTACTGAATTCCACGAGCAACCCACATCAAATTCTGCGACCGTGCACTGAGCTCCACAAGCAACACACTAGATTTTCGCAGCCTCGCACTCAGTAACACTAGCATCGCACATACACATCAGCGGCCTAGCTTCAAGACCACAAGCAACTATCCCAACCATGAGTATCTCAAAAACCAGCGCGGGTCACCGTTCCAAGAGAACCACAAGCCACCAGGCAAAAGACAGCCACTACCGTCCAATCACACAATCTCTCTGCGACCGAATACCGCAGACGATCCTGGACGCAAAGACCACTCTCTGGTGCAAACTACCTCAAAGTGCCAGCTTCAGTATGGAAAAACATTCACGATCCAACCCGGACAGAACGGATAGATGCAGCAGAGAACACCCTCGCGTCAGCGCTAGCCGCTGGCGCTCTTACTTCTATACCTATCATCGGCCTCGTCAGAGTGTAAGTACAATTGCTGATCTTAGAGCCTGACCATTGCCTTGACGAGGGTCAGTTTTCACACTGACTCTGATTGTTGCAGACACAAATGGTTCTGGGACAAGAGTATCGAAACCAAGGGCCGCAAAGATACCTATCGATACCGGGTCATCGACCAAGCCACAAAATCACGATCCTTCCAGAGAACGAGTGGTATGACCCCATCGAAGACGACGAGACCAAAATCAAAATCCTATTTGTTGGTTTGGCCTTGAAGGAGCACAGTAAGTACACCACAGGACTCCATATCTAGTCCACTATCAGCGAAGAGACTCTGACTCCATCTTTCAGCCATTCTACTCTTGCGACGCATCTGCCCTGATCCCAGCATGAATACCATTGAAAACGCAGACCAGTGGAGGCAATATCTCTCGCCTTGCATCCCAGAGGGTTTCTCCCAGATCAAGAAGAGTACCACTTATGGCTGGTCACTTATCGTCAACCGCAAGAAAAGTCGCAACGCCCAGCTGCCAAATCCCGCGGCCTCGCCTCGGTCCAAGAAGTCGGCCATTAGAGACATCGCCAGGTGATTGCGCTATTGAGATGGGCTTGTATGTCTTACCAACGGCCTCTCGCGTCTTCGAAGGAGGTTTCTTGGCTGGGATTAGTGTACCGCATTGTGGAACTTGTTATGGAATGCAGGGCGAGCTCGTTGAATTTGGAAACATTGGGTGGGGCATGGAAGCAATTATGGGCGTTCCGTGGAGTGGTTACGTTTCCTTTTCTGCATGTGGTGGGTTTGGTAAATGATTGATATTCAACGGACTTGTCAACCGATCCACAGCCAGAGTCATGCAGAAAGCACATATCGTGCTCCGAATCAACGCACTGAAAGGGCAAGGAGCCCAAAGATTTGATGAAAGAAACTGAAGGTCACTTTTATTCGGCAAAGACGGATGATCTGTTGGAATATTGCTTGTCTCAGAGCTTGAGGTATACCAAGACTGACAGGGATCAGAAGAATATGGCCGCACCCAAATACGACTCCTTGAGTTGACAGCGTTGTAGACAAGGCTAAATTCTGAGGGTCTGGTCCCCATGTGCGAATAGGACTCCGCACTATGGTAAAATAGAATAGAGCATCTTTAGAGACTCGTGCCCCTGCTTCTGAGGCTTTGTGAGCTCGATCAGGGTACAGATGGCTGTAGAATGGGGGTCGCAAGCCCACCAATGACAGCAACCGTGGGGTGGATAAGCTGAGGGTATCAGATGTAGGACTGGTCGGTCCCCAAAATGAGTAATGGCGGGGGGACAGACCGATATCCTGGAGGATGGCTTGAGTCCATACCGTACTAACCTTCCTTCTACACTTGAAGCCGCCGAAGTGCTCTTTAACGCGGCCTCTGGCCCGCAACACGATGCGGACCCTGTCCCGATGTCCTCGCTCATACCTCAGACTCTACTCTCACTGCTCCCAACCCACGCATGTATCCCCGTACTCTCACCGTCTACCAGGACAACCCTCCCAACACCCCGTCGGCCGTCTCGGATCATAGTCTCCCCACTCCTCATCACTTTCCATCTCGACCGGCTCTGCCACCTTCCATCCTTCCACCCCTGGCTCTGCCTTCGTCTGCTTTTTCTCGTCCGTCTCTTCTTCGTCGTCGTCAGCACTCCCAAAAGCGTTCTTGAACCCACCCTTCTTGAAGCCTGTGGGTTTCGTGGCTTCCGCAGAAGGGAGAGACACGGGCTTAATGGTAATGCCTCCGGACTTTTCGTCGGCCCGACGTTCGGCTTTGCGTGCTTTTGCGGCCGCGAGGGGATCCCGGGACATTTGTTTCATTTCTTTGAGACGCTGAAGGGAAACGTGCTTAGCACATTGTGTACAAGAGCTGAGAATGCATGCTTAGATATAAAAAAGGAGGAGACCGGGGCCTGAAGTATAGGAATGCAAAGGCATCAAAAGCACAAACGTAGAGCATCGCCCTCTTCAATAGCTTTGAATGCCTTGATCATGAGCATAATCGTCTCCAACGATCACTCGTCATCCAATGAATAGACGGCACTCTTGATCCAACCGTCACAATGTGAAAGATGAGAAAAGACACATACCTTCTTATGCTGATGGTCATAGCTCCCCTCATGTGCCTCGAATTCATTGATCCGGCTGTACCCCTTTTGGCAGAGCTCACAGTAGAAAGACTTGCGGGCTTCGCGGGCGGACTCTGTCTGTACACTCTATCAGAGAGCGGAATGCCCAGAACAGACAAGATTTTGGCAATTGTATAGCTCGCAGATATTCTAGAGTAGAGAAACAGTGTGTGTACAATAGACGGGGGTCCTTCAACTCGCATCAATAAAGCAATGGGTCATTGTCTCAGCAGAGAAATTAGCAGAGGCTCAAGGGCATGGAAGGAAGAGATTACGGATAGGGATATGCGTACCTTGGGAGCAGGGTTCGTGGACCATGGCTGTGACAGAGTAAGGTTAACGGAGTCAGGTCGTGTTAAACAGTCAGACTTACAGGTGGCATCGTGAAGCAAGTCAATGAGTCAGAAAGGTGTGATGCTACGAAAGATTACAGAGCAAATTGGGGAGAAGATGTACGTGCAAGACTGGCTTGTCAAGTTTGGCCTACTTGTATGAAACAGATGGAGTTTCTAGGGACCACGGGCGGCTCCCAACTTATTAGGTCTCGCGGTCTCGGGCAAGAATCTAGGGTGCGGCATCCAAAGGTTCCAGGGGTGGTTTAGGGTCGGCCCCCCCGGCTCTTCCGTAGCTCAGGAACGGTCAGGGCAGGACTCAGATGAATTGATCAAGGTACCATGAGCCAACAGAAAGCCAGCAGGTCCTCAGGTCTTCAGGTCCTCAGGTCCTCCATCCTACTCTGCAAAATCAAGGCGTCCAGAATCTAACCCATTTTACCCGTGTCCTCATAAATCATCATCACCATATACTGCCCGCTAGACTAGACTACCTGTGCATACTGACATGGCTTGTCTTCATGGACACTTCCATCGGCATCATATCCAGTAGATACAACGAATCAGGATTGCATCTATGCATTCACCGTTACAAGTCGCGACCCAAACCAATCCACGCTACCACTCGTCTAGAAGACAATATACTACCACCCACCATCGAACCGATCGCCTTGCTAAATGAGCGTTGCGTGTCCAAACCACCGGAGCCTATCCTTGGTTGGAGCCCATCACCGCTTCTTCACCTCCGTCGCCCATCCTTCAATCCCTTCTCCTTTGCTCCCAACCGTGATGTTGAGGTTGACATGTTCCATTCCCTTTGTGTCTGCTAAGAATGGACTTGCGCTCATGCCTCCCGCGTTTGCCCTATCCACCGGCAACAAAGCCAACATCGGGACCAAGAACTTGGCAATGCTTTCTGCCTCCTCTTTGCTAAAGTGGTATTTCTCCTTTAATACATCCGGCAATGCCCAGTGCCTCAAGCGATGAATGTTTCGGAGTTCTCCCTTTCGAGAGAAAATCTCCTGAGACCATTTGCCGTTCATGAAAAGCTGGCGCGGAAAGACACCGAGGAGCTCGATGATTTGGGCGATATGGTCGTCGTCTTTTCCGTATTTAGTACCAGATTGAGGGTCAAAGAGGTAATCTCCTGTAATTAGTTCGAAGACCTATGCCTGTCATTATACCGTAAATTTCGCAGACAGCAAGTAGTCATACCATAGCAGACATGCTCCAAACATCCGTACTTGCCCCCCATTTAGCGCCCAGGATGACTTCTGGAGAGCGGTATTGCCTGGTTTGGATATCATTTGTGAAGTGGTGTCCGACCCAGCAAGCGTTTCCCAGATCTGCGATTTTGACCGATATAGTGTCCATAGCTCTTGCTACATCTTCTTGGCTTGTTTCCATTGGAGAGGCAGACTTGTTTAGGGAAATACCGGATATGGTTTGGGAAAGGTTCTCACTGGAAATTATGTCAGCGCAATTAGATTGTGCAGAAGAAAGCACACCCACGCAGTCTTCTCTTGGTGTTTCTGGTCGTCGTCGGTGGTGTTGGAAGGACTAGGATCTGCAAGACCAAGCATCTCTCGCATGGATTTGGGAGGTGTGGCGGAAGCTACAGCACCGCTCATTACAACGCCGTTCTTAGGAGTAGCTGAACCATGAATGGAAAAATTACCTGGGCTCTCGCTTATCATCTGGTTCAAGCTACTGTGTGACCCTGCCATGCCACTCGTGAATCGCAAATTTTCCAAATTGCTGAAACTCGCATTAAGAGGACTTGGAAGAGGTTGACTGCCTGTGATGAGGGTTCTTCTTCTTCGGCGACCATTGCGGTTGTCTTCCTTGTCGTCGGATGTCGGTTCGCCTTTAACGAAAGTCTTGACTATCTGTTCCACATCACCAATCTCGATCAGAACGTTTTCGGGCTTCAAGTCTGTGTGTATGATGCCGCATTCGCGATGAAGGTAGTCCAAGCCCAGCAAGACTTGCTTTGTAATTTGCTTGACGAGAGGCATGGGGATGCCTCGGTGGTTCCATCGCTTGATCAGACCCAGCAGGTTCTCTCCTAGAACCTCGAATACCATGCATACATGGGTCCCATTTGGCCCTTTGTGTTCGAATGAATCCAAGAGACTAACGACATGCTTTTTACCAGGATGATTTGGGTTTGCTTGCACGATCTTGTTGAGCAATTTGATTTCGTCAACAGCGGTTTCCGTGTAGTGAGCTGCTGACCGGACAACCTTTAATGCGACATGCCTTCCAGTCTCAGTATCACGAGATAGCCAGACAGTTGAAAAGTGACCCCATCCGAGCTTCCGTGTAATGATGTATCTGCCATCCTTGAAGGTTTCGCCAACGCTCACGGGATGATAACCGCCTTTACAGTAATCTTCTGCATCTTCTTCTTCGGCTGTGACTTCTGTAGCATCATCACGGGAGGACGACGATGACGATGAGCGGCTTAGTTGGGGTTTGAGGTGAGACAATGGCGAGTTAGTACTGTTTGCACTGCAGGTCAAAGATTAGCGCTAGACGAACATGGGCACCATTGCGCCTGCGTCCCTTGCTAACCTGGAGCTATTCATATTATTGGCGCTTTGCGGACTGGGGTTTGCGTTTTGTTGATCCTCTGTTGTGATGATTGGCTTCAGATCTCCGCCTTTCCTCCTCTTCTTTCCTCCGTTACCATTTGCAGCATTATTCGCAGCAGTCACTGCTTGCTTCGCTTTGCTGATGGCGGCCTTCTTGATGTCACTGCCATTCATTATATGCTGGTGGAGTGATCGTGGCAGGTACTGAAGCGGTGGAGGAGAGTGTTTATTGTTGCGCGCTTATTTGATTGACAGCTATCAGAGGCAACAGGTCAACAACATTCGACGAACGTGCGGCTCCATTCATACTTGCATTGAGTGTATGGGTATGAACGATTTGCTCTTGATTCTTGACAGGCTCACTGGCACCACACGAGGTCGACCAGGGCCCGGGAATGTGTAACCGCTTGGGTGGCTTGCTTTGTTGATCCTTCTGGCAATGTTGTTGAGAAGGGTGGTACGGGTAGGAAATGTAGAGGAAGGAGTGATGAACCAAGTAACGATGGCCTGATGCCGCGCTGCCCAGCAAAGAGAGCTATTGCCTATGAGTCTATGTACCTGGACCGAAGTAGCACTGTAGCAGATCGAGTGCATCGATGGAGGCGTTTGTGGATTCGGCATTACTGCATCTGATCTAACCGAATTAGGCCTAGCGTAATCCATATACCTTACCTAAAGTAGACATCAATTTTCTGAGTGTCCTTAAATACATTCAAAGCTTCCCCTAACGTAATTATCAATGCATTTCTGCACAAGCACGAACCATCTCCATGAGATAATACATATTGACGACAGCTGTTGGAACACTACCTCGGTCATGGCTATTGATATATACCAGCGACTCAAACAGAGTATTTGACAAGCCGAACATTTCTCTTACCTGTGAAGTTTTGACATATTTCCTAGGAACGATGTCCTCAACATTGGCAGCGCGCTTGATGCTTTTCCTCTGCTCACCGTTGGCATATACCCTATTGGCTTTATCCATTTCTCCCTGTATCCCATTCGTCACCCTGTCATTGAGAGTTTCGCCCTCAACCCTGTGCCCTTAAGGCTTGTCTCACCCTTGGCTCCCTTCAAGTGCTCTGCTCCACCTATGGTGACATCCATTCGAACCTCTTAATCCATTTCTCTTAAGCTTGGCCTTTATCACTTTCTCTAGCGCAGTCATTGGTATACTCTCGGCAAATTCGACGCCACTATCAAGCCGCTTTTGGCGCGCTAGCCTTTCTCCTATATAACCCTTGACAAGCTCTTCTCTCCCTCCTTGTTCTTCGTCGGCTGCACCATAAGAAGTAGCCATGTGCTCTTGAAAGAGTTTGGATTTGAGCTCGATGAAGGCGTGTGGAACTTCCCCGTGGCCTTCGGGGGCAGATATACCGATGACTGCAGCGTTTTTAATGGAAGGGCGGGCAAGAAGGATGGTTTCGATCTTCGCGGGGGCGACTTGCCAACCCGGGACTTTGATGAGGTCCTGTCGCCTTTTGTCAGAGGTTCTCATCTGCTGGGACTCTTTTATTCATCCTTAAGTGGACCCTTCTGACGTTCTCTAAGATTTCTCGTCCGGGACGTCATCGTTGGTAGCGAAAACCTTTCTCGCCTTGACGCCAATATGTCTACGGCGAGAACAGTGTTGGACGAAACGAGAGCGACGATACAATACCTTGAGGCCCTATGTTGCCGAGTAGTTGTGTTACTTGATCTGACAAAATGACCCATACGCTGCTGCTCCAATGGTCAAGCTAGAAATCTCGATTTCGAAGGTGAGCTGGTAGCGAAGTGGTGAAAGCACGAGCAGAAAAGAGATTTTGATAGGAACGAGGAAGTCAGACATTCCGAATGACATCCAGGATTGGAGATCGTAATTGACGAAGAGTCTCTGGCCTTGCCAATCTTGGTCTCCGTGACGGAATGAGCTGGTCTGGAACAGAAGCAGCACCGGCAAGGACATCAAGAAGATGGACATTGTTGATTCGAAGTTCATGTGTCTTGGTGGCCCAGGCTGCGTGCAGCTTTACTGTGTCACGGCCGTTGCGTGCGTCTATCTTAAACAATGTATCCTAATGCTACTAAAGGAGTAACACTCGTCTCGATTCCCAAACATTCTCGAACGAAGCCGCACCCATATATCTTGGGCTTCTCGCGCACATACAAGGCAAAATACAATTCCGGGGTCGCTTGACGTTTCTTCCAGAAATGCTTCTCGTCATCCAGTTACGAATCCCAGATTGGTCCGTAAGCAGGTATACCTCTGCTTTCCAAGCCATAGACGAGCTTTGACGTCAGATAAGGATTCGAGATAACAAAAACACTCTCAGCCTTTGTCTCCAGGTAGAGATGATAAGTCAATGCTACCACATCTGGGCGTCCGGTAGCCCGTGTATCAATGATCATGGCCTCAGGATCCGCTTTTGCGACTGCACGCATGACATTCTCCCCGTATGTCTGAACCGGATTAGGGGTAGACCACAACAAGCGGCAGGGTATCGGGTGGGAGGTTAGAAAAGACAGGCATGGACCGATGCCTGAGCCCGTTGCCACGAGCACGATCCGCCTGAACACGGTAGCCATGCGCAGGACCCCGGTAACTGGAATACCACGAATCCAGTAAGAATGTGCCGGCTCCATGATCTGCTTCTTCGTCCAATCCCCATTATCAGATACGATGAGGGAAAACGATGACCCATCAGCATCCGGAATTGTTGCAAAGGCATGCCATTCTTTCATCGGATTGTGAGTGATCCGTAACCCAATAACATTGCCAATGTTCTCGTAGGAGTATTTGAAGTGAATGCGGACCGCGTGTTTAGACAGGACCTCTGGAAAGGCTTCGACTTTTCGAAGCCGTATCCACGGCAGTATGATGAAAAAGGTCACGACGAGCAGGAACCAGAATGCTGGAGCTTGGACCACCAATGATCCGAAAGAATCTGTTCCAGGAATGTTTGACTCCGCGTGCAATACAAGAAGGATCTCGACCCAAAATAATGCAACAGCAGTCCAGCCCCCGAAACGGTGCACGGCCTCGAACGTATTGTGCGAAAATATTCGGAGCTTCGGTATTGCAAAGACGCAAAGTGCAAGGAACAGCGCCAGTAAGATGTAGGTGATGGCGATGACCGCGGGCTCGTTGAAGTCTCCGTCGGCATACCTTTTGGTGACTAGTGCCGAATATAAGATGAACCATGCGGTTGCAGAGACGGCGCAACCACTATGCACCCCCCCAAAGTGGTACAGCTTTGAAACCACGCGGCGAAACCATAATGGCATCCAGAGAGGGGTCCAACAGAAGATGTTGTACAGAGAGTTGATGACGTACTCCTGCCTGATCAAGATCGCGCCCATGACGTTGGCTGCAACAGCGGTTGCTAGGTTACTCAGAGGTGGGCCGAACGGGTGTGAGTGCCTGTGTAGCACTACTTCGACAATTAAAGCGATCATGTTGCCTATGAAGACAACGGAGAAGAGTCGCTGATACACTGCCAGAAGGTTATAACGCAAGCCTCTCAGTATCTTGCGATCACGCTTATGTGGCAAGTTTGGTAATTGATCCGGAGGATGAGAAATCTTGTATGATGCTGCTGGGTCTGAACCCTTCCTCATCACAGCCAATGCACCTGGCTTCTCATAGTCGTGTGCTCCAAGTTGTTGCTGGACCAGGACCGGCGCAACGACGCCTCTTTCCAAGTCTTCAGACGAACTGCTCGAATCAAATGGTTGTTCAAAAGTTTGCTCGGTTGGGTACCCTAAGTTGGTGGCTTTCTCAAGGGTGAGGTCTTCTAGCCGGAAGAAATCTTCTCTTGCGGTGTAGACAGAGGCGATAGACTCTGCCGGAGAACCCTGAGTGGTGGAGCCGTTGGCTGAATCGACATCGTGCAAGTCGGCGAACGGGGATGAAGGCTCTTGATCTCTTTTCTCAATTTCTGACATGTTGTCCGCTCGCTACCATGTAGAAGATGAATCAAAGAAGGTTGAGGTACAAGCTTGAGGAGCTTTGCGTAAGAGTATATTTTGAAAGAAAAAGGTCTCGACGTTGCAGAATTCAGCCGGGATGTATGAAGGGGTGGCACACATAAGAAAGGCAACAGCAAATGAAAGTGATTGTCAGTGGTATAGACTTTTCCATTGGGTTACGTATGCCCGGCCCGTGGCAACGGATTCCAAGTTAAGAGAAAGCATAAAGCTGTAGCAGCGAGCAGATACCGCAAGGTCTCGTGTCATCCCTTTACGAGCGGCACAGTGGGCGAAGACGAAGAGTATTAGTAGAGAGGTAGTAGAAGAGACGGCTCCTTCGGGGTGAAAGCTGAAAAGAGAATGGTGCTTGGGAAAGATGGAAAAGTTCGTCCATGGGTGCATTGGAAGTTGGACTGGAAGGATGGAAGAGAGCAAGGCACGCTAAGAGATGCACTATTCTTCGAATTTGCTCGGGCGCAAATCCTTTTGATGGACATGAGCCCTCAGGCATAATGAATGATGATACCCAGCAAATACGTATGAGCAGGTTCCGGGCCAAGAGAATGGGTCGAGAGGAACTTCATTACCACGAAAGGGAAGGTGGCATTGTTTGCTTATTTTGGCGGGCAGAACCAAGTAGACGAGGGGAATTTCAAGCGAATTGCCAAACATAACGGATCTCGACTCAGGATTACTATACCTGTTCTTCTTCTCCTCCTTCTTTGGTTTCGCGTCTTTCGGTCCCCGTTTTCGGCTGCCTTTGGACTCCTCACTTGGGTAATTCGTTCCTTTCTCAATTCTGAAACGAAGAATATATTGATAACAATGTCACCAGCCCGCTTGTTCGCATGATCTGATGATGGTCGACAGTACTTACCCCATTTGTCCCGGGAGAATAGAATGGCCACAAGAGGCGGAATCCAAATCTTTACCTCTTCTGGCGCACTGGCTTGCGTTTTCAAGGATGAGTCGAGACCGACCTGACCTCTTAGTCTCTGGGAAAAAGCGCGACGCGGCGACCCAGAATCGAGGTGGTGGGTAGAAATCTGTCTTTAGGAGACCCTGCGTTGTCTACACACATGCAAGGCTTAACGGCGCCTCATGTGGTTGCATAGAAGTACCTACACTCTCCATGCCTGACCCACATTTGGGTCTATGTTCTAGGGACAAGAGCGGCACTTGATAAAAACATTACAGACGGGATGTTCGCGTTCGTCGAAGCCGGGGCCGAGGCTAAATATGGGCGAACTCGCTCTCCACACCATTGGGTGCATGAAGGATCTGACATCCATTCTTAGATCATATTCGTGCCCACGCGCAAGAAGGATCACGATCAACGTGCTTGTTGCAGAAGCATCATGTCGTCACTAGGTCCAGCCTTTGTGGGGAGCATTCTTCCTTTCTCCATCGCATGGCGAAAGGACTCGGCGCACGCTTTTGTCGTTATCCTACCCCAAGTCCATGCATCATCTTGCTGCAGTCGTCTGAATATGATCAAGAGATTCGGGTCATGCGCACTTAGTCGGAGTTATTGATGTATCGTACGAGTAGATGCGATGCGCTCTTCCTCACTTTGTGGGGAAACGATGAATCGAATGACGTCTAAAAGGCATCTCGGATTCGCGTCCACTGCCGCATCTGGATCTGACTCAGACGCCTCGGTCGGAGACGAGGAAATGCTCAGATCCGATCTTACTCCAAAATGGTGGCTGCATCTGGCCACCAATGAAATAGCTCAATCCGCAGAAAGTCGGCCGAGGGGGGTTGCAGGCTTGGCGTTTCCTGGCTTCGTGGGGATCCATCATCACTTTGCGGATTTATCGGAACCAAGCCAACGGGACGAAACAGCCACAGGAAGTACCGTAGTCGGGCCTTCACTCACATGCTCCATGCAGGTGGGGCCACCACCAATGGAAAAGAGGAGAGTGGGGTACATGTTTGCTTTTGAGAGCTCTCTCACACCCTCAAGTTGAATGGTCCATGACCATACCTTCCTTTTAGTGTACTTGAGATCAGCTCAAGCGATAGCTGATTCCTTCTCACCGACACGAATCCTCCGTCTGAGGCAATCGCAGTGACTGCTGATCAAGAGAATGTAATCAATCATCGGGTGGCGTTGCCGCCGTGTATCTGTGGTTGTGATGGTTTTACGTGTAGGCTCGCTTGCCTATTAGAGTCTCCGTCATAGCTACTCAGAATCCGAGGCCGATGAAAGAAACAGAAATGCAAATGCATGAATCAAATGACACCGTGGAAACCCATCAATGTCAAAGACGTCCACACTAGTTTGCAGCCGATTTCCATGATGAAACCTTGTACCTGGACTCGAATTTGAGTCGAGCTCCTTCTCAGAACTCTATTAAACTGTACAAAGAAAGTCAACCCTCTCGCTTTAGCGCAGCCATAAACTTGTCTCTTTCTTTGCTCCGGGTCTCAAGCATTGGGGAAGAACGGGTACCTGCTGACGGAATGAATGGCTTGTGCGACGCCTGACAATGATGCACACCTTTCGAAAGGCACACATCTCACGATGCTGTGATGAGTGAGGCAAAGCCTGCAGTGAGGTGCAGTCGAGATGTCCGGAGCACTTGTATCATTGGTTGGGGGGTCCGCCAGAATCGATTCGAGGCCTTTGAAGTGGTGTGCAGAGCGGGAGGCCGGATTCTGAAATGCTTGAGAAGAGGACAGCATAGAGACCTAAGAGAAGTTGCCACGAGAATGATCACATGCCGAATTCTCGATGAGGGTTTCAAGGTGGCAGTCGTTGGACGCCTGTGAAAACCATCCGAGGCCACTTTTTTTGATTTTAATGTTTTACAACGCCAGCTTCAGCTCTCCCTTTGGCTTATTCCAGCGTCCACGTCCAGCAGGGATCGCCCAAAATAAGCCTCCGAAGAGTACAGTTTCCGTCAGATTGTAATTCAGTAGCCAAAGCATCCCTGCGAATTGGTATGCGTCACCATGAGAAAAGGAGTCTGAAGTGCACAGTGTGCATGAGTCTGACTGACTCTCCGGCTGGCAAGCGCGTTGTCAGAAAGCAAGGTATATGCACTGCTTGAACCCCCTCGAATGTCGACAATACAATCACAAAGTACCGGGTCTACGGTCCATAGTTCATAGAGCACGCTGTTCAGGCTGTTTCTGCGCATCGATTGCCAGATTTTCTTGGCTTGCTACCTCTGGCTGCACTAGATTTGGAACATGGCATCATACCAGTGCCCAAGACTGCCACTTTTCTTGGCAGCATGCCTGGTCGACGTTGTTATGCCAACGTATATTGTAGCGCTTTTTGATCTGTAGTCCCCGAGCCTTCAAGTTCTGGCTAGAAGCGTGTGGACCAATAGAAAGCTTGCCAATGATGCTGAAGCCTAGCTATCACCGCCATTATCGATCTGAAAATTTCTCAAGTTCTGGGTATGTCTCAGCAGTGTTCAGCAGTGTTTATCCAAAGTAGATATCTCGGTGTGGATAAGGCTGAATCGGTAACACGAACAAGGCACGCGTAATTTTCATCACTGTGATTCATTCCTTGATGTTGTATCTAATGGAAGCATGAAGCAGGAAACCTTACGTGTTTGTGCTTTGCTCCGCCGCCATCTGTTTCATTGTCTAAACAACGCAACGACCATGGTTTCTCACACCCTTGATGGTGCTTCCTCCCTTTACCCGCCGGAGACGAGGTTAGAGATCAAGCAGAACTCCGCCTTTCTACAATTACCAGATGAGCTGCTTCAAATAATCACAAAGTATATGGACACCGGCACATTTTTCGCATCCCTCCTAACATCCCGCCGCTTTCTCGAGTTGGCATTGTCAAGAATACTCCTCTTCCATCATCTAGAGCGCATACCTGGGCTCACCCTGGGACTCACAGACCTTCCCACGCCTGATCTATTACTGTTTTTCAGAAAACGTGCGGCACAGAATGGTTGCGCAGCTGGAGCCCTTGCCAATGTTACTAAGTATGCTCATCAGTCGCCAGGGATAACTATGAGCAACGCAGTCTTCATTCCTTCGGATCCGTCTCAAACTGGCAACTTGGCTCAACTGGTAACGACTCGATACGACGGTGTACTACAGATCTACGACCTGGCTAAGGATCACATACGACGCAGAGTCGAACTCCACATAAGGCCTGAGGGGGGCTGCTCAAGCACCAGGATTGAGATCCTCAAAGTGTCCTTCTCTCCCAGCAGTCGAGACCTAGCCGTCCTATACCGACAAAAGGAACATTCACGTGACGCATCTCCTTTCCCAAAGAGAGCTGAATCCGCTTGTGACAGCGAGGTTTACAGGCTGGTCACCTTTCATCGTTGTTTTGCAAAGACGCTGGGCTATTTCTACGACTCTTCTTTGCAGGAGACACGAGACATAGAAACCCTTGAAGACCAGGAAACCGTTGGTCTAGCCTTTGCATCGAACGGTAATGCGTGTATTGCTTGGAAAAGTCCCGATGGGCTCAACAAAACCAGGATATGCCTTGTCGGTCGGAATGAGAAGATCATGGTATGTATTGTCTCGAAGTAATTCCTCTTACTGACACCAGCATTGGGATCGGAGGATCTTTTTCGCGTACCAAAGGCTCGTTTCCGCTATAAGATCAATCTGACAAGTCTGTTTGTTCGCGGTACTGAAGATATGCTGACTTAGGAAATTAGGAAGAGTGTAGATATGGTCAGCGATTTTTTACTTTGTCAACTATCTCTTATCTGCATCGCACCTTGTTCTGTCTCACACTGCTAAGATCAACCGTGAACACTGGGGAGTATCTGCATTCTTGAGAACTGACCGCACTCACTGTCCATTGACACTGCTATTCTTGTCTTACATGGACTTACCTATCTGTTGAACTTGCTGGGGGGCAGACCTCAACATCGTTATCACAAAAGGAAGAGTCATTCTTATGTCTTTTCGAAGACTTCGCTAACGTTCCAACACGGTAGACTCGTCTCCTGACGTCTTGGATATCCATGACCCTTCGGGTTTACCTGCACATATGTACAAAGATCGCGTAGTATCGAACTGCCAATTCGTCGACAACGACAGCAAATTGAATTTCTACAAGGCGGGCGCCCCTGTCCATAGCTGGTACACAAGCTGCCCGAATCCAGCCGAAGAAGAGAGCGGCCCAATTCTGTCCAACACAGCCTCGATCGATATTGAGAACGATGGTACACGCCAAGCCTTTGAAGTTGGAATGCCTTACTATGGCATCCATACCTACAGCGACTTCTCATGTCGAATCTCCTATTTTGCTCTCGCTATGAGTAAGAGTTTGAACAAATATGGCCGGACAGATGTATTTATTGTGCACGCGGATTCCTTTTTATCTTTGGGTTCCTGTGATCACAGTATGCACCTCGATAAGGGTCGAAAGCAGAGATCGTGGGCGGCGCTAGCACTTCTGGCAGGGTTCAATGAACGGAGCGCGCAATGCCTAAGCTCGCTGGGCACCGTCGTTGCGATTTCCCCTGGTGGTACACGGATTGCGGCAGCGAATTGGTCTCGTGTACTAGTCTGGTCGATGAATCCTAGAGTGCTTTACCAGGGAGAATTACAGCATTACTTTCCGGCCCGTGACTACAACATGAGAAAGGGCATCGGCCGGTTACGGCCCACTTTGCTATCCTCGGAAGGAGTGGTACACAAAATGAGGTGGGGAAATGAGGTGCAACTCTACGCTACAACAGATCAAGGCCTTGCAAAATGGGACATTGGGCACATGAGCGAAGGAAGAAGAGAGAATTTGTCGTTGGCATACGACGTCAGGCCTGAGACTGTGGTAGCCGCTCCGGTAACGGGCAGGGTGGCGCACCAACATTCACCGCGACGAGCGTAGCCAATTCAATGGGGATGGTGCAGTCAAGGAGGTAGGCGACGAGATACTACGAGGCCATAAAATCATGAACACGAGGGACTTTCGCCTCTCAAAGGAACGAATGATCAGACTTTTCCAAAGACGTTCATGGTGTTGGCAGCGTTCAGACGACGAGGAGACTACTGGATTTCCAACAGTGACATGGGCGCTCGGCTTTCAAGCTGCTATAACAATATCGTTGGTTACTCAAGGCTGCGCTTAGGACGGGGGATGGATGAGCTTGGAGATGATTTTTCTGGGGAATTTGTCACGTGTCCTGAGCTGATGCAATGCGGCTGACGCATATAACAGCTGATCACTAGTGATCCGGGTAGGCTACAGCCTTTTTTTTTCGGCGAAATTGGTGAGGAACATGATCTGTAGGCGCAAAAAAAAGTGTAGTATAGTATGGATGAAACCTGAACTAGACGGCCTGGAGTTAGCAGAGAAAATCGAGCAAGTCGTAGCCAATGTGCATAAAATTGAATGGTAAGAAAAGAGAAAGAAAGAAAGAAGACAAAAGACACAAAAAAGCACACGACCATGAGAGTATAAGTACAGTTAATTTTTTTTCTTTTTTTTACGGGGCGCAGAAGCTGACAGCCGGGTAGCCTGGTAGCCTGGTGGGCCTGGGTGTTGGAATTTATTAGTAAGGCAGGGGCAAGCGAAGATATGACGTATAAGGGTCTCCTTAGTGCCCGTGTGGGCGGCGTTCTATCAGTGTACTCTGTAAAGTAGACTCCTCGACTATAAAGTAGGAGTAAGGAATGCACAACACTAGGAAGACATAGAGAAAGAGAAAGAGACTGCACTCTACATTCAACACTTCTCCTTCCCTTGATCTCATATCCCTTCTCCCACTTTACTGCGTCTTCATCAAGCGTGTGAGTCCTCGATCTCGATTCCTTTGGTGAAGCCGTCTTCTAATCTAGGAGCATTTTCTAGCGTGGTGAGTCCTTCACTAATACTCGTCCAATATTCCAACCTTCTTCTTCTTCTACCTATGCTGACTTGGGAGCGACATCCCACAGCGCTCCACCCTCTGCAGTTAACCCTGAATCGGCATTCACGGCAACAAACCAAGTCAGAAGCCAGATGTTAGATTAAAACATGGCCGTCGTCCAATGAAGATTCACAGCTCGGCGTAGCTGCAAATGATGACGGCCGCTGCGACTCCTCGAGGCCCTTGGCCTCCTATGTCTCCCTCTCGGGCTCTCCCAATCTCGTCAACCACGCCTCTCGGATATCCTTCACGGACACCAGGTTCTGTTGGCCCACAAACACCAGGACGCCCATCCAAATCTCTGTCTCCACACGCAAAACGTGCCCCTCGCTCTCCAAGTCCCAATTATTTCGAATTCATCACAGATCCTAGCAGCAACCCCCCAAATTCTAATGCCGTGGGGGAACAGGGTCTTTTGAAGGCTCCATCTTATCTGGATCCGTCTAAGACAATCCACGCCAGGAAAGACCGGAGCCCACCATCAGCTGGTGATCCACCTATTACAGTTGCTTCTCCACACATTGATCCTTTAGAATCGCAGCCGCGATTCGAGAATTTTCGAAGGCAGTCAGAGACCAATACATTCAACTTGAGCCATGGAAGCCTTTCGCATTTTAGTGCAAATGTAGGGAGCGTCCATCCGTCGACACTCGAAGAAGTGCCAGACCAGAGCCACAGAAAGCTGAACTTAGTGTCGCCGAAACCGCAACAGACGCAGTCAGGAGTTGGGGCATCTTTGGTGAATCAAGAGGGAATGGACATTGATGAGAGCTCGCCGAGTGGTTTCCATCAGTCCCTGCTGAAGACTTCAGATTCTCAAGAACCATCTTTCTTCGACGTTCCACGGATGCAGTCACCAGCAAATGCCTCAACCCCAGACCTCTCCAAAGTACAGAGAACACAAATATCCCACATTGATGAAAGGCACCCTCGGAATTCTCTGCCCCACAACCGAGTCGAGCCTCTTTCGCACATCATTCAACGCTCAGAGACACTACCTTCCTCAGTCAGTTACGATGGCCCTACAATGATAGCGCCACAAGATTTCGTTGATATCTTGAAAGGTCATGTTCCCCAAGACCTCCTTATACTGGACTTGAGAGTTTTCCCGCAATACTCCAAGTCTCGAATAAGTGGTGCAATCAATCTTTGCATACCCACTACGCTATTGAAAAGATCGTCTTTCAATGTGCAAAAATTGTCAGAAACATTTACTAAAGAGAAGGAGAGAGCTCGATTCGCCCAATGGAGAGATGCAAAGTTCATCGTCGTGTATGATGCAGCTTCGATGCAGCTGAAAGATGCTACATCATCAGTCAATACTTTGAAAAAGTTCACCAACGAGAATTGGAGAGGCGCCGCTCTCATTATCCGTGGTGGATTCGACAATCTCGCTAAGAAGTTTCCGGACCAAGTTGATGATAGGCTAGCCAGCGAAATGGATGGTTCGAATACGAGGAAACTCTCAATAGACCCACCTGGCGCAGCCCCTATTGCAGGAGGGTGCATGATGCCAAGTACTCAGACTGCGGCGAATCCTTTCTTTGGTAATATCCGGCAAAATATGGACTTGATTGGTGGTGTGGGTCAGATGGCTGTGAAGCTCCCAGCTGGTCTCAAGGAGACAGCCGTCGCAGGATTGCCAGCATGGTTGAGGCAGGCTGCGCACGTGGGCGACAAAGGCAAGGCTGTTGCTGATCGCTTTCTTGGGATTGAAAGGGCGGAGCAGCAGCGAATGCAAAAGGCGCTGTCTTGCAATGTGTCTTATGGCACCCCAAATGCGCTCTCGCCTGAAGCCGTGCAAATCGCAGGAATTGAAAAGGGAACCAAGAACAGGTATAAGGACATGCTGCCATATGATCACTCGAGAGTGAGGCTGCAGAACGTGCCGTCCGGACATTGCGACTATGTCAACGCAAGCCACATTAAAGCACAACGGAGCAATAAGCATTACATTGCGTCTCAGGCTCCTGTTCCAGCAACGTTCAACGTGAGCTTTCTGGTTCTCTAACCGTCTACGGCCTCATCTAGCTAACGGCCTATTCAGGATTTTTGGCGTGTAGTCTGGGAACAAGATGCTCGCGTAGTGGTAATGCTGACCGCCGAAACCGAAGGTGGACAGCGAAAATGCCACCCCTACTGGCTTACAGGCGACTATGGTCCTTTCAAACTCAAGTCATTCTCGGAAAGGCATCTCCCACTGGCGTCGTCTAAGAACACACCGGGCAGGGTCTTCTCATCGCCTCTCAATTTGGAAGCAAAAGACAGACCCGACATGGGTCGTCGCCGCTCTACCAATTGTAGCGCGCAAAACACTCCTACACCCCAAACCGTCGACGCTGAAATCCCTCATGTTATAGTGCGCAAGCTCACCCTCTCCCACACAGGCCACCCATTTGAACCCCTCCGCGAGATCACCCAACTCCAGTATTCCAGCTGGCCGGACTTTGGCGCCCCAGCACATCCTGCCCACGTTCTAGGATTAGTCGAGCATTGCAACTCGGTTGTACGCAGCTACGAGTCCAGCAGCCCCAGCCGTGAGCCCGACGAGCCTGCCCGTAAGGGCGAGCGGCCAACCGTTGTGCACTGCAGCGCTGGTTGTGGCCGAACGGGAACATTCTGTACTGTAGACAGTGTTGTGGATGAGCTCAAGTGGCAACGTCAAGCCCGCTTACAGAAACAGATGACCTCAAATCCAGAAGATATGGACGTTGACAGCAGTAAAGAAGATGGCTGGATGTTGAAAGACGATGAAGATTTGGTTGCCCAAACAGTCAGCAACTTCCGCCTGCAGCGACTGAGCATGGTGCAAACGCTGAGGCAGTTTGTGCTATGTTATGAGACTATTCTCGAGTGGATTGTGGGGGAGATGCCGGGGAAATTCAAGGGACTGGGAAGCGACATAGAGAGGAGGAGTCGGGGCGGATAAAGGCAATGGTAATGGTAATGGTTTAATGGTAATGGTAATGGTAATGGTTAGCTACTAGAAGAGTGTACAGAGATGAGGTACACGAACAATGGACAGATGTCGCCACAGTGATGAGGAATAGTCGTGGTGATGAGCAACGATAATGGTAATAGGGTGATAATGGTGATAATGGAGACTCAAAACTCTGACCCGGCAGCAACAAGAAATCGCTGCATACACAAGTCCTCACGCCTCTTCTGAAAGAGATGTCCGAAGGAAGTGTCTGTCAGGCCACGATAGACCTTGGCTGTACTCTTACGAGAACATTGACAATGTGTAGATATCATAGCAGAAGCTAATCAGTACAACTTACCTTACCTTGGCTCCATGATGTAGCTAGTGCTAGTTGAACCACAGCAATCGCGATGATCCAAATAGCTCCGGCCTCTTTCTTTTGATGTATGTACTGTCTTCCATGTTAACCTGCTACTTTGTTCTGCTTTCCCATATGTCGGTCCTTTTGGCTCTTCTCCGAGGCCTGGGACGGTACGATTCACTCTCAATCAGGGCTTTAGGGTGCTGTTATGCAGCACCAGTTACGGTAAATGGCCTAAAAAACGTGCATTGTTGTTGGTGCTTTGTCTTCAAGCCAGCCATGAATCCTAATTGACCCATCGTGAAAGGTCTTTCAAACCTATACACGGTGCGCCATCCCCCGCCACAAAAACTGTCGTAGATAGATAGTGCAATGCGCCGATTGACCACCTTCCCAGCGCCTCGCTCAGCTCAAAACGAATGATTTGCAACGACAGCGGCCACAACTTTAGATTCCGGCGTCTCTCAACTTGGTTCAGTCTCCACAGCGAATCCGGCTTACCAAGCCCTTCCGCTACTTCTCCTGCCCACTGTCTTGAAGCTGCTCTGGTGTCCCAAAGCAAGTGTATCGAAGCGGTCAATGCCCATCATCTCGATGTCACCCGAATATCCTGCTAGATAGAAACCGACCACAATCACTAGATAGGCCAGCACCAGAATGCTTCCTTTGAAGTAGTTGCTCTTGCCCTCGCCGTACACATAGCTGAGCAGGAAAACGCAGAGGATAACGGTGACCATGTCCCATTGCGGGAAGATCAGGTTGAATGTGTGATCCAGAAGCTTTTCAGGATCGATGTAGCGGCCGTGGACAGCGCTGAAAAGGACAAGGGCGGGAATCTGGAGGAGGCACACTTGGAGAGCGTAAGCGGAACCGATCTCCATTGAAAGTGCGATATTGCCATTCATGGCGAAAGAGATGGCATTCTGTGCACAAATTGTTAGCTACAACATTTGCTTCATATCGGGCGTCAGAAGAGTATACCAAGAATTCTGTCGTATTGGGCACGAGCGCGAACAGAGTGATGCCCAAGAACTTCTCATCAATGTCTACACTTTCTAGTACTACATCCACAGTGTTGACCAAAATTTCTGCAATGATCGCGTAGAGGACCGTAGCACCTAGAAGAATGACGGCGCTCTTCACCCTCCCCCAGTTGGGAGCGTCATGCCCACCATCAGCAGGACCTTCTGCGTTTGCGGCTGCTTCGTGGTCATCCTGGAATGCACCTGTAGCTGGAACAGAGGCTTTGGGTGTGCGTTGGGCAACAGTACGCGTTGATGTTGACATTTTGCGCGGAGCCTTAACAGCATCTCGAGCCGCGACCGCAGCCGCAGTAGCTGCCATCTCCGCAACATGGCGGACAAGATTATTGTGCTCCTCCTCGGAAAGACCGGCCACCTTGATACTTCTCAGGCTCGGATTGTCCTCCAAAACATTATTTTCGCCCTCGCAACTTTTTGGTGGCACGACATGCGGTGGCTGACCATGGAGATTGTTACTAGATCCAGATGGCTGCCGAGAATCTTCTGGACTGCGTAGACTCAGCCCTTCGTGCTTGAGAGACTGACTCAGAATGCGCTTATAGAGTTGAGTGTCACGTATCGCAGTGCTCACGTTCCGGCCGCCCGGAGAGTCCTTGCTGCTACTGCTCGTCTGCGGCTTAAGTCCGGAACCATGGAGTGGTTGGTGTGATATGCTGCCGTTTGGTCCAGGATGTACCTGAGCCTTTTTCTCCTCTATTTCTATGTTCCAGATTGTGGCTGCATGGGTCCGTAATGTAAACCATAATCCAATTATGTACGAGAGGAACAGGAGAACAGCCGCGAACCAACAGTACGGCCTCACTGCTTTGAGAAAGAACTCGTCGTTGATGGCAGGTACTTGGGAATAGTAACACCGTCGGCAGTCTTCATCAGGTCCATCGGGATGGCCAGGTCCCACCACGATGCAGGAATGGCAATTAAGCTCATGCTGCAAGAAGCGTCAGCAATGATCAGGTACTTCGGAAGGCGTTCTGCTTACACTCCCATAGATTTGATAGAACAGGGTAGGCCCAAAAGCAGCGATCACCGCAAATAAAAGCATAGTCGATGTGACGCCCGCAGACTTGACATTGAATCTCTGAGTCTTTCGTTTGATCGCTCCAAAGCACATGGATAAACCTGGTAGGAATAAAATACCAGCAAAGATACTCCCGATGATGCTGCCCTCGACCAACTGACCTTTGCCTTGGTTCAATGCTACGCAGTAGAGAAAAACCTCGACGACGGTCGAAAAAAACGCATTGATGGCCGCTCCCACGCCCATTGACGACTGCGCTGATATTGAAGCTACAGCCTGTCCGATGAAATATGCCAGGGGGATTATGGAGAAGAGCGCCAGCGCGAAGACAAGCCCAGGAGCAACTATCCAGCTGTCGAGGCCAATAGCGACATAGAGCACCCAGTAATCAAATATCGCAAACAGCACTACACCAATCAAGTTGATCAGAAAAATGTTAGTTCCATCAACGGTATACTTCCAGTACTTCAAGCCCACAGCTCGGTAAGTGCAGAGTAGTATGGAAGACGAATGTGACGAACCGTCCCGTGAGTAAGTGGTGTCCGCGTTGAACGACAGGGCGAGAGGGTGTCGACGCAGGTGGTAGAAAAGAAGTAAAGTGGCCTTGCCCATGGGAATCCAGAAGACCAGGAACCAACAGATTCCAGATGCAAGCAGTAAGAGTGGTGCGAGCAGGAAATAGAAGAAGACGAAGAATATAACACGCCCGATGGTCCATTGTCCTCGACCAAAAAGCCTAGCCCTTCGATTCTTCGGCCCTGTCTTGGGATCATCCGCTCTCCTTGTGCGTCCCAGAAGGCTATCATTCTCATCTGCCGAATCCATGCTTCTTCGCCGACCAATCAATGATCGTGAAGTTAGGGGTCCGAAGAAAAGGCGCCCGTCTTCGAGGTCTCCGTTCTGCCATTGTTCGTATTCTGTGATGCTGCGGCCTTCTCCTTCGTCCTCTTCCGCATAAGCTTCATCTTGCTCCAGCTTGACGAATTGGCCAAAAGGGTAGAAGAGATATAGAGACAGGCCCCAGAAAACTCTTCCATAATCTGCGGCGGCAGGTGCAAAACCAAATAGAAAACAAGTGAGAGCTCCTAGGGCCGCGGCTGTGGCAAGCCACCAGCCGAAGAGGATAGTCCAGAGGATGTTGAACATCCATAACCAACTACTTACTCTGCCTCCTGGGGACGAGTGTATGTCACCTTCTGCTGTTTTCTCTATGGATCTGTTCTTCTGATAGAGCGCAGGTTTCCAGATACGGATACCAAAAGGGTGTGTCTCGTTGATAGCATTCTGACGGTCTTTCAGGGTAAAACTTTCGGCGTCGCTCAATTCATCATCATCGTCCTCATCACCATCTTCGGCGTCTGCGGGACTATTTCCTTCCTCTGCGGATGAATCATGACCGTCCCCAGCAGCTTCCTCGCGAGGGACGGTAGAGTTTTTAGGTTGCTCAGCTTCTTCCTCATCTTCGCCGCGTGAATCGACTCGCGGTAAAGATGTTGGTTGTGCAGTGGGTCTTCTGCGCAAAGTCGATGGCTGTCTCCGCAGACCATTACCATGTCCTGAGCCCGACGCTGACTTCGCAATCGACGATTGCCGTTGTGCGAAGTCCGACTCATATTCATCCGGATCATCATCTACTGAGAAACCTTGACCTTTATGAGGAGGGTGGTATTTAGAAGATGCTCGTCGCGCCATTTTCGGCTTGCTCATTGATGGTAATGGTTCGGGAGACAGCACTTGCTGGCGATCCGACGATGCGGAGCTTTGTAGACCTTGACGGCCCTCATCCTGTGTAGGTGTTCGTTGACTTTCGGTATGGGGTTCTTCCGCAGTATTGTAGGAATCCAGGGAGCCTTTGACGCAATTAGCAGCATTCCTCTGCTGTGGAAGAGAACATGCCATGATTATCACCGCTGCTGGTCAAAATGGCCGGAGGCCGATTTCGACGTATTGTCCCCGTCGTTCTCGTATTTAGATCTTCATCGTCACGGTCTTGATCGTGAGTGATGGGCTCAAATCGTCGTGGTTTGTCTTTGGGAGAAGTGCCGCCCGTAGAGTAATTGTGCGCCCCAGGGTCGGGCGAATTGTTATCGTCTGACATACTAAAGTCTCCTATGGCTCCAGAGTGTACTGGTAATTACGAAGCATGAGCAGCTAGAGGACGAGTCCTCTATCAGCTGAGAAACCTGGGGAAACCGCCTGCTGTGGCGCTGAGCTTTAGTGTGTAGAAGGTCATGATCAGCAAGGGAAGAGTGCAGAGAAGCTCAGTAGAGTCGACGTGACAGAGTAAAAGGATTGGATAGCAGAGGAGGAACGATTAGATGATTAAGTTACATGTCAACTCTCACGGCTAAGACGTAAATGTTTACAATTGGCGCTAAAATTACTCTACGCTAACGGTGCTTTGAGCGTCACTTTCATCCTCCCAGCTAGTTTCCTCTCCAAAACCTGTCAACACTCGAATCTGTCAACAATCATCACTTCATGTCCCATGCTTAGAACGACCACATTGATTACTCGCCCTGGTCTACGTCCCCCTTGACAGACTAGTAGTCCATTGACAAGGGAAAACTCTTTCCACCTTGGA